TGGGTTTGCTGGCAGCGCCGCGCTCGTTTGTCCCGGGGGTTAGGATGCTGAAATCGCTCTTAAAAGCTTTTTTTTATTTTTTTTTTTTTTTTTTTTTTTTTTTTTTTTTTTTGTAGTCGCCGTTGTAGTATGACTTACAGAGGTATTTTTAACTGGCAAACAGAATGTGAAGCGTATCTCTCCACGGGAGAGGAGGGAGCGTTGGTCGGTATCGTAGCTCATCCGCAGCAGTGGAGTGAGCTCATGACTGCGTGCGTTGGGATGCAGCGAGGGGGAAAGGCGGGCAGGGTCCGGAGGGGCAGGGGGCGAGCGGGCGGCGGGGGATGCCGGGGGTTACAGCCGGCACCAACGCCATGTTGGTGGAGATGCAGTGCGGGAGGACGAGGCAGGGGATGGGGAGCTCTGGTCAAGGTCGCGCAGAGGAGCGCGGAGAGGCTGCTCCGCTGGGCTCAACAAGTTGTACCGCTCTGGGGTTCCAGACCCTCCACTAGGAAAGGAGAGAGTTGCTGGTGAGGAGCATCTGCTGGGTAGTGAATGCTGCTGATGCCTGTGGTCGCAGGGAGGAGTGGTGGTTTAAATTCCTTGCTGGTGTACAGACCTCAGCCCAGAGCATTTAGATAAAGTGGGTGTAGCTGTACTATTTCTGACCTCCCTGTTTGCCTTTTGGGAAGCGAGGCACTTGCAGCCCTAACAAATGATCCATACATTAGATCACAGTCTGGCTCACTGGAGGGGATGGGTCACACCATGTGATGTCTAGGTGGTAGGAGACTGGGTAGGAGATGAACAGCAGGCAACAGCCAGGAGAAGGAAGTATGAAACAGAGTAGAACTAACCTCCTTATAGTTTTTGTGTGTACCAAGTAGGTGAGGGGTACCCACAAAGCAGGTACCCAGTGATTCATGCAGCACCCAGAAGAAAGGCCAGCTGTGACCACTGCCAGCTGTGACAAAGCAGAGTCTTGGAGGGAAAGATGCTCTTGCATTGAAGATATGGAGAACTGGGTTTTGTCCTCTGCTTTGCTATGTGTCCTGACTAGAGACTAGAGATGACCTGGCCTGGAGACCTAGAAGTGCTTAGATGTTGTAATGCCCTTTTACAGGCATCCAGATGCTTTGAATGCGCTGTGTCCTTGTGGTTCTGTGCCAAATTTCCTTGAGACAAAAATGAGGGGAGCGGTCACAGGGTGGCAGGGAAGAGGTCTCAGCCTGAGACATTTACATGGTGTACGTGAGGGAAACCATGCCTGAGAGTCATTTCTTCAGTTTCTGTTTCCTGGGGATGCAGTGGTAGATGTCTGAGGATTGTGTAGGCCAGAAGCACAAACATGATTGGCTTGAAAGGTTGCTGAAGGTGGTATGAGCACTGGCAGAAGGCTGTTGTTAAAAACAGTTGGCAGTTTTGGGAGTCACTAATCCCACAGCTGAGCCAGAAAGTGAAAGACTGGAAGAGCTGTGACAGTAGGCCCTACCAAGTACTTTACTCTGCCAGTCTAAGTACAATAATTGGAAAGCCTTGGAAAAGGGACTGTTAATATTTCTGGAAAAGCTTCCAATTCCTCCTGAGACAGAAACACGATCTTTCCAAATTGTGCCAACTCAAGCACTGTCTGCTCAAGTGCCAACTCCTGAGTCACCTGCTCCCCCACACCTCTCACTGGGAGCTGGCTTAAATGCCATAAACTTTAAAAACGAGTAAAATGTCAGATGCTTTTCACTGACACTTAAATTTTTCAGTCTGTGGGACTTCTGATGTTGGACATTCCAGCTTTCTCCATGGCCCTGAGGGCTTAGGAGTTTTTATTTTAATTTAATAGCGATTCACATAAACTGACATTCCAGGGAGTGCTTAATTTAAAATAGCAAGTATTGCCACAGCTTCAAGAAAAATAAACGGGAAGGTTGGCAGCAACTGCTGCCACCTCTGAGGCAGGCTGCAGTGCCAGGTGCCCTGGGGCAGGGTTGGGAAGCTCTAGCCTGGGAAAAACAGGCCTGTTGCTGAGGAGTGCGTGTTGTAACTGTTAGGAGTGACTGCCAGTGTAGCTCATGGGCAGATCTGAGACTCAATTTATGGGAACTTGTCAGCTGGCACAGGGAAGAGTTAGACCCTTCTTTCATGACACGCCAGAGATCAGCAAAAGCTTCTGTAAAGCAGATCAACCCAAAATAACAGTCACTAATGCAGCTAGTGTATTCATTACTAATGAGCTGAGAATAGTTGATGAAGGTCAGGAGATAATAAACTGGAGGCCCTGAAAGGCCCTCCTGTTTGTAGTCACAGAGCTTTTTCCTGCTGTTTCCTTTTCCAGGGAGTGGGATCCAGGGGATGCTACTGGTACTCACCCTTGCTGGATAAAAGCCCTGCCCTTGGTGCACTTGCATATGGCACCTATGAGCTGCAGCTGCTCTTCATGCTGAAGAGAAACTCAAGTTGTATAGAAAGTGAAATTAACTAAATAATTGTTTCTTCTCTCTACAGAAAATCACAGCACCCCTTATCTATGCTGTTTTCATTGCTGCCATTGGGTCTCTCCAGTTTGGGTACAACACTGGTGTAATCAATGCACCTGAGAAGGTGAGAGGAAGAATGGTGAGACTGGGGGCTGATCCCAGACAATAGTGCTGAGAGGAGCTGTGTCCTAAGCAGCTAATAAGTCGGTTCTGATTTCTGAAGTCATTTAAGAACCCCTTTCAAATATAACAATGGACAGGAAGGGTAAACTTTTGGGGAGGAGAGAGAGCAAGCAGAGGTTAATTCTCTTAATTAGGGAGCACGGGGCGCAGGGACAGGAGGGGTCCATCTGCCATATGTGGTGTGTTGAGGAATGTGAGCTACTTCAGTTTTGAGTC